TATTTTAATTAGATTTAGATATATATAATTTTATTTGTATATAATAAAATTAACGAAAAATAATTATAAAAAATGAAAATAAGGTCAACCCGCGGGTTAACCCGTAAGTTAGGGTCAGGTTAGAGTTAGACTTTTTCAACCCGCGACCCGTTTATAACCCAACCCGTATAACCCGTCACCCAAGTTGACCCGGCCCTAACCCGACCCAACCCGCCTGTTTGTCAGGTCTACCATCATCAAATTGTTTCTGCTCTATTAGTTTATTGACTCTTGACACTAAATGGCTTTAACATCCTTTCAAGCTAAAACCTCTAATTGTGCGAGTAATTTCCCCTTTGTTTAAATGTTTGTTGACCAAGGTCTCATGCCTACTCCTACTTGAGATCCACAGTTTAATAATAACCATGTTTATTCTCAAAAGTTTCGATCTAATTGCTCTCCAAAGTAAAAATATATTTATGGCCAATCTCAAGTGCATCTCCAAGATTCTTCACATTGGAATTGTTTAAACTAGTTATGCTATCGAAACAAGAATTGCAACTTACATTAGTTGTGCAATTATTTTGGGCACATTGCTAGAGATTGTCTCAAGTTCTTAATCACTTTTTCTTAAGCACCCTTTGCTACTTTAGCAACTTTTAATGACTCTTTTAATAAGACTTGGATCTTAGATTCTAGGGTATCTCATCACATCATCATGAATTATGCAAATTTAAAACTACATTCAAAGTATAATAGCCTTGATAAACTACTAATCAGTGATAGTTTAGGTTTAAAGATTACTCATGTAAGACAACTCGAATTGACTACACTTACCCTCTTCTTCATTCAAAGTGATGTCATTTGTGTTCCAAACATCTCATGCAATTTAATTTTCACTTCTAATTTTTACAAAAATACCAATTCCTTTATTGAGTTTCACCCAAGTTATTTTCTGATAAAGGATCAACACACAAAGGCAACAATATCTCACAAACCAAACAAGAATGGAGTACACTAGCTTAAAATATGAAGTACTTAGTCCCACCTTTTAGCATTAGTGAATGAATGTGCAACACTTGTAGATTGGCAACCCACCTTGGTCATCCCTATGTGAAGGTCTTAAAAAAAGTACTTAGTCTTTCTAATTTATTAGTGTCAAACAAGTCAAACTTTGGGTTGTATGTGTCATGTATCTATTCTATGAGTCAAAGTAGATTTCTTGTTGTTATCTATTCTAATGTTTTGCGTCCAACCCTTATTCCCTCAATAAATGGCTATAAATATTTTTTTATTTTTTTGATTTATTTAGTCATTATATATAGTACTATCTCATAATATACAAATCTGATGTCACTAATTTTTTCAAAATTCAAATTGCTTGTTGAAAGTCAATTTTAAACACAAATAGTTAATTTCTATTATGATGGAGGTGGGCAATTTCTTACGCTCCGATCATATTTTTCAACACATGGGATCTCTTGTTTCACAACACCTCCACACACTCTTAAATTAAACAAAATTAGCAAGCATGGCAACAAGTATATTGTTAAAAAAACTGTTAGTTCTTTTGCATCATGCTCAATTGCCCATGAAATTTTGGTCACGTGCTTTTTCTATGGTAGTCTACTCTTGCCTTCAAAACTCCTTTTAAAAAACTTTTCAAAGTTCAGCATAATCATAACAAGCATGAAATTTTTTACCATGCATGCTATCCATAGTTACATCCATTCAACAACAATAAACTAGAGTCAAGATTTCACCATTGTCTCTTCTTTGGTTTTGCCACGAATCAATTTGGGTATAAATGTCTTGATCAAATAAAATTTTCATTTCTTGTCATGTTACTTCCAATGAAAGTCTGTTTCTATTTCAAAGTTCATCTGATGGATGTCATCTAGGTCTATTCCCAATTTATGTAGTGCCACCAAATTGCATGAGTCTCTTGTTCAAAATCCTGAGCAAATACCTTATTCAACATTTGAATTGGCATAGGTGGTTAAGCTCTGCCACATGCTTTCTTTGTCAATACCCACCTAATACTACTTTATCTCCAACCTTACCAAATGATCTCTAAAGTTTCGTGTTTCATTCATCTAATCCTTCATCTAATATTAATACCCAACAAGAATCCCATGAAAACCAACCCTTATCCTCACCAACCCTAAGAACCAACACCAACACCCATTAAAAATCTCATGAGAACCCACTACTAGAAAACTTCCTATTTCAGACTAACTTTTTTGGTCAAGCAAAAATCTTCTTCAACCGACCAGTAGCTGGCTTCCTTTGTCCGATCACCATAGATTTTCATCTCATCAATCTTTTTCATTTTCTCTTCCCCGATTTCCTCTTCCCTCACAACAGCCAGCAGCCATCCCTCTTGCTCTTCCTCGGGTCATTACCGTTGGCTTTCTCTTCCAAACCCTTCGATAAGCACCAAACCTCCACCTCTTCCCTCATCTGCTATCCCACCCCTCCATTCCATGTTTTGCGTTCTTCTTTTCAATCTGTAGTTGATTCATGGCTACCGAAGAAGACCAGAGGCGAGTGAATGTCAAACACAGGGAAGATACGCCCGAATCTGCAGGTCGGTGATGGTGGTGGTCATTACGTCGACGAGTGAACAGCAGAACAGGAGCAATTGAAGCTAGATCTGTCAATTTGCGACAGCGGTGCTCATCACACGAGGATGCAGCGATTCGGCGAAATCTCAATCTTCATCCAACTGAAACAGATCTGCAGACCAAATCTATGCTAGCTACAGATCACGAGTGGGTGATGACAGGATGAATTTGGCGTAGATTAAGGCCCAAATGCATTTCACAGATTTTTGTAAAAAGGTAAAGATCGGAGAGGCCCAAAAAAGGGCAAATTCTAAAGGCCTAGAGTGGTGAGTTCTAGAATGAGGTTCTAGGGTTTCTTTGCCTTGGCTATAAATAGGGGTTTAAAGGTTAGAAATGGGGGGGGTGTTATTTTGGCTTGAAGTCTGGTGTCGACGGCGGAGAAAAAAGAGGGGTTTTCTGTTGGAAGGAGACGGTGTTTGAGAAAGGAGATCGTCGAGTTTCAAGAGAGATTCCATCTTCGAGGGTTGTCATCATTAGGTATAACTCTAAACAGAGGAATTTTTTTAGGAAAATGGTGAAGGAGATGGTGGGAGCTTGATCTCGTGGGCGGGATTCCTCCCATCAAATCATGATCTGTTTTTCTTTTAAAAATTCACTGTGCTTGTTTTTATTTTTCTGTGGGTGTTTGTTTTCTTTTTTAGATTTGATGTAGAGCTTGTGTATATGCTTCGTTGGAAAAATGAATGAAAAATCATAGATTTTCTAGTTTATTTGCCTAATGAATATGTTTATCTTTTGCTGGAAATAAGATGTAATCAGTATGAACTAGGGATGTCAACGGGGCTCCGCGAAGCCAGGGAGTCCTTCCCCATCCCCGTTCCCGCGAATGACGGGGACGGGGATCCCCGCGGGGATTTTTGACGAGGGCTAATTTTGCCTCCCATCCCCATTCCCAGCCAATTAACATCAAAATACATATTTTTTACATCAAAAATAAGTAAAAATTAATGAGGCGTGCATCAAACATATAGTGAGTGAGGATGATGGGATACTGCAGCTTCGACAGCAACTCTAGGCTTCAGCAACAGATAGACAGCAACTCCCGGCTCCAACAGCAGATCGACAGCAGTTTTAATAACAGATCTATAGCAGCAGCAGCAGCAGATCTGTAATACCCCAAAATTTCTAGAGCATTAAGTGAGAGTTAGGTACCAAATTGTGAAGAAATACTATTAACGAACTTAATGGAAAAAATTTTCAAAGTTTAGGGACTAAAAAGAAAGGAGATTAGGATAAGGATCAAGGCTGATATTTTTATCCTCAGCCACGTGTTTTGCTCTTCATCTTGATTTTTCCTCTCCTCTGTCGACCGAAGCTCCCCTAAGCCACCGACTCATCCCCTTTGAGAAAAATTGGTAACAAGCTTGATTTTTCCCTTCCTTTTCTTGTTAAAGAACTGATTTTAGGACCTAGAACCCTCCCTTTG